GTATAAGTAGAGTCACCTATTGGCAAACCGCCCAGTTGATAGTCAGCAGTGCGTTTGATCAGGTGAAAGTGACAAGACGAAGAAATAGCCAAGTGCGCGTGCACTCAAAGAACCACTACCAATATAAATATATATTTAACCCAGAGACCAAGTCACTCCTTGGCTAGTGACCGAGCCGTCATCGTCATGGATACGAAAATAATCTGGCTGTGCTTTCTGTTGTTCGGCGTAGGTGAGTACACTTTTGACCTTCACAGTATTTTTTTGACATTTAATGTTTTTTGGGACTCTTGGGTTGTTTACGTTAGATTTGTAAGAACAGGATGGTGATCTTTCTTTCAAGGTCACCAAAATATGTTAATGCAAAAAAATTCACAGGAAAGTATTTTTTTTTTAAATAAGACTTTAAATAAGACTAAATAAGATTATCTACAGGGTGTTCAATTTTTTTATCTATTAAAAAATATCCAGTCAATCGTTTTAAATTTATTTTTCTGAATATACAGTGTGGTCCAATTATATTTCTGCATTAAAGTTACTTTTTTTAAATGAACTATAATTATTTTTGATGAGTGGATTTACCAAAAAGTGCCATAATATCATAGTGTATAATTAACGTTTATCAATTATTTATTTTACTGTTCTGTTCCAAAATATAAAGTGGCAAATTCTTTATTTTTTTTAATATGCTGAGTGTTGGAAAAAAAGGCGTCAAATACGACTGTGAATGACAATCGATGAAAATTTTGGCGAGGTCAATCTCTAAACGTCATTAACTAAAAATTGACATAAAACAGAGGTCTATTTAAAAAAAAATCTCGAATTTTAAACTAATAATACCGGTCAGGTAATGACATCTAGGGCTTGACTTCGCCAAAATTATCATCGATTGTCATTCCCAGCCGTCTTGGACACCATTTTTTTTTTCGATCGCATGGTATTATAAATTACTTTATACTGCATCGTATATACAGGGTGAGTCAAAACAATATATTGATTTTTTCTCCACCACCGTTTCAATTTTGCCACCCTGTATTTTATGACATAAATGATCGTAATGTTTATGCAACTGCATGTCTTGATAATTATTTTTTATATCCGAAATCGGTATTTATTCACTAACTTTCTGTTTTGGAATGATTCACGTTATATCTAATTTTGACTCACCCTGTATACACCAAGGAATTTAGCCTATTTTGTTGTGATTAGTTCTGAAGAAAATACTAACATAAAATACCGTATGATCGGAAAAAAAACGGCGTCCAGTTGGCTTGGAAGTGAACATCGATGA